ATACATATATGTGCTCTCAGTCTACATCTCCCCCCCTCTACATATATATATATTATATATATATATATATATATATATATATATATATATACATGTGTATGTGTGTGTGTGTATATATATATATATATATATGTATATTGTGTATGTATAGTATATATATATATATATAGTGTATGTATAGTATATGTATATATATATATATATATATATATAGTGTATGTATAGTATATGTATATATATATATATATATATATATATATATATATATATATACTTTCAGTCTACATCCAGGCACATGTCAGCCTCACATGTGGCTCTATATGGTCACTAACGTTTAGTTACTTTAACCAGCCACCATTCATTATACGGGAGCTCCTACTTACCTATTCATTTATTCACGGGCTCATTCTGGGCGATCCACTGCTGCTAACATGCTTTTCAGGACTCATAATTATTTGTCAAAGTCTGCAAAGTATATCATCCTCTTTCCCTAGTGATAATTAGTTACCATAGCATCTAATACGCAAATGTGCCCAGAGCACACCATTAACAGTTAAACGGAGGATTCAATTTAACACATGATTATATCTTTGGAAAGCCATTCTATTAGAGAAGTCAATGTCACTCATGCTGGGGCAATCACATGCAAGATTTGGAGAGCAGAAAGGACAAGGTGGAAGGGGCTGGGGATAGGAAAGGAGTGGGGGGGGGGGGGGCACAGCTGGAGGTACATAGGAAACTGCCTGATAAAATAGTCACAAATTCAATTTTGATCAAGCCAACAATGGACTGATAGGATAACCGTGTAACTGTCAAAGCACCTTCATCTATTGTGATAAGTCACTATTTAATGCTGCCCATAGACAGCACGATTACTAAGTCTTGATGAAGAGTTGATGAAAATGGATGCCCATGGTAACATTCAAGGTGTAAAAATTGATCAAAGGTCACAAAAGTGGGAGGTATCTCTTGGAATGATTTTCCAGCTTATTGGAAAATATTTTTTTTACATTTTTTAACAAATACTCAGGAATATTTAGGGACATGGGAATTACAATCTAAAAGAGGTCTGCTGCTGTTCAAATTGCAAACATTCGCAATCGATGATCAATCATATCAAAATCGTACGAATCAAATCAGTCAAATACAAAATATACGTCCCTTCCCCTATAATTGCTCCTAAAGTTTTCACATTATTGAGTCTTTGCTGAATTTTGCCACAAATTGTCTAGTGTATGGTATTATCTTTGTAAGTAGGGTCTCCCTGTATGTGTGGTCTTGTCTCTCTGTAATTCAACAATATGTATAAATAAAAAGTCATTCTTTTTCCTATATAAAGAAAAAGTTTTGCAATCATCAACATTTATTTTAACTTTTTATGTAATCATAATGACATACAAAAGATTATTTAATAAAATAGTGCAAAGTAAAATATATTTTGTCAAGTTCATTAATCAACAGCAACCAATCACAGTTTAATTTACTGCAGTCAAATGAGGAAAAAGAATTTAGGGGACTCTGAAATGTACACTACAAGCATTGAAATTGGAGTGCAAAACGTGCATACGTTAAATAAATGATGATGATATTCAACAGAATTTAAGTCAAATACATCACATTACCTATGAGCTAATTTCTTAAAAATAAATAAAATAAACAAAAAAGAGGAAAAAAAGAAAAAGGAGACACTTGCCCCTACAAACCAATAATTTGCTTTAGGTTTCCATAATAACGTAGAGCATTCTAATGGGTTGCTTATGTCTTTTATAAATCAGTCCTAAAAGATATATTAAATCAAAAATAGATAAAAGTAAGTTATCTGAGCAGAAATTCCAAGCCTGATGAAATGTATTTTGATTGAAAGGTAAAAATGATTTAAAAAAAGAAATAATTGCTGCTAAATGCATAATTTACAAAACTTACACACCAGCATAAGCAGCCTTTGTTGAGAAAACAAAAGTGACAGTTATTTTCAGTGGAGTCCACTGACATTTGAAAGTGACAGTTACATGGCTTAAAAATAAAGGTCCTTATCTTTGTGTTAAACTTTGCAAAATTGATTCTATCATTTTTGATACCCAGTGAACCGTTTCCTTACAATAAAAATAAAAACTGGATCCTGCAGACTTCACAGACAAGTCCTTTCCACCCTAAACTGGCGCAGGTCTCCAGGACTTCATATGGTCCGCAGCGCCAGACTGTCCTGCCTGAGACCATTGATGAGCTTCCAGGAGACACGGCCCTTTTAATGAGAAGTATTAAGCAGTAAATCTTGCAGCTAATTTGTCCTATGATGTTAATTTGGAAAAAAATGCTTCTGGTGGTTAATTTCTAATCAGAGTGATGGACAGCAGAGACAGAACAATACAAACTAATGGCCGTGTTGCTGATCACTTTACTCCTTGATAATTATGTCGCAGAACAGTGTCATAATTATGTTCCTTAATCACATCCAGGAGGTCTAATTGCCTTAACGATGTGTTTCATTAAATGAATTTAGGTATTACAGTCGACAGTTTTCATACACAGTTGTTTTCAAATTAACATAATATTAGACATCGTCATGGAAATTGTTTTAATAATCATAATTAGAGGCGCCCAGGCTTTGTGTGGCAATGCTGGAAGACTTGGTGGCCCCAGGGCTGCATGTGCCACTCTGTCTGCAGTGCCTTTCCCAGCCCACTGCCACAGCCTAGCACTGAGTGCCCATCTTCCCTGGCACTTCACCAGCCAGGGGAACCTGGCATCTGGAGGCAATTTGTTATCCTGCAATACACAGGGCTACAGTCACACCTCAAGCTGGCCATACATTATACAATTTTCTTGTTCAATTTCCTTTAGATTTACCTTCAACTATGTAGTGCAAGGGCCTGTCTGATTGCATACAAATTGAAGGCGTTTAGGTTTGACCTCATATTATACGTGTTTGGTATAATCTAAAGGAAAACTGTGCAAGAAAATGTTATAATGTATGGCCAGCCTTAGATTGGATATCAAAAATAAAAGGACTCATCATAGGCCAGTCCATTTATTCCTATAACCAGATCTGCCACTCTCTTAAAACTAGTGAGGATCACAAAAAGTATAAACCATCACCAAACCAGTTCATAGAACCAGTGAGGATCACAAAAAGTATAAACCATCACCAAACCAGCTCTAAGAACTAGTGAGGATCACAAAAAGTATAAACCATCACCAAACCAGCTCTAAGAACTAGTGAGGATCACAAAAAGTGTAAACCATCACCAAACCAGCTCTAAGAACTAGTGAGGATCACAAAAAGTGTAAACCATCACCAGACCAGCTCTTAGAACTAGTGAGGATCACAGAAAGTAAAAACCATCACCAAACCAGCTTATAAGTTTAAAAAATTTAAATTAAAAAAGGACGTCCTCTTTAAAAGGGATTGGGGGCTATTAACACTTTGGCAAATCATTCCTTTTTTTTTTATATATAGATAGATTAGGAATAGCACACTTTCCTCAAAATCAATGACAATTAAAAGCTTTTAGTTTGCATGGCATTGCAGTTATAATATTTTGTGCAAGCGAACCCTCCATGCACCTTAATGAATAAGCCTTGAAAATTCGCTGGAGTCAATTCAGTTGCCTTTTTTTGGCGCAGATGCGCACAGAAGATAATATATGTGAGTCGGTAATCTCATTGACCTATTTAATGGGTAGAATTCTTTACACATCCTTGACCTGCCATCAAGTCCATCACCCATTCAACATGACAAACTGAACCCTGCCAAGTGCCACAAACAGCAGGGTATACAGGCACCGAATCTACTTATATAAAAACACACATAAAACCCCCCATATATAAATCATGTAAAAGCTGTAAACACACACACACCAAAAAAAAAAAATCATCCTATAACACAATTGATACGATTTTCTTTTATTGCAAACCAGGCCAGATGTAGTTATCTCAGATTAAATGGGATCAGAATTGCATTTGATTTAAAAGAACATCATTTTGCACACTCCCCAATTAATAATACACATCTTTTTGCAGATTTTTTTTTCTAGAGGGAAGCCATTTATTAAAGCTTAGCTTAAACACAGTTAAGGTTGCAACTTTAGATCAAAAATGGTTCTTTCTTTCCAGCTCTGCAAACATTGAAAATGTCTGAAATACTGGCTTTTTTTTATTAAGCTTTGAAACACTTGGCACAAGTTTAGAATTTCATTTTAGCATAGATCTCCCCCCTCCACCACCACCACCAAAAAATAATATAAATAAAAACAAAGAAAAAAATTGCATCTCACTTCCTTTCAACTGGAACACAAGATAAATAAATTGGAACGATTATTGAATTAGTGACACATAAATTACCACTTATTCCCACACAACATTCCATAATGATCAACAAGGTGCACCAAAAAAAAATCTTTAGACTTTCACCCCCCATTTCCCCCCCCCCCCCATCCCCAGACACTTCTCTGGTCTGCATGCCAGTTCAACATCCTCACCAAAATATTTGAAGCAATGTCATACAAAGTTCAGACAACGATAAAAAATACAAATGATTTATAACCTCTTAAGGTTGAGTCTTTTTTTTTTTTTTAATTAAATAAGTCTATATTTCAAGTGTTTTCCTGGCTCAAAAACATTATCAAATTCAAGTGCCCTTTTTATTTCTAATTTCTCAGAAGTGTCAGTCATAAAGGGAATAGGCTATGAAATCATTGTTAGCACTCAAGTTTTTTTTTTTTTTTTTTTTAATGAGCAGCGATTTTGTAACATAAATAATGGAAATATCCCGCACAGATTGTTGTCATTTGTCACCACCGGTGAGATGGGGACATGAAGGGATGAATTGTCGGCTTTTGTCTATCAAGGTTTGGAGAAAACCAAAGATCAAATGGGAGGTGGGGGATGATGGACAAGCCAAGTGGTCGCCTGCTTGGAGCAAGTTCTTTCCAATGACTTGGTGGGAATTGTCCCTCTGCTGCCAGCTGATACCAGCTCGTTGGGGGTCTTGTCTAGAGCTGCTAAGGCTTGTCTGTACACTGCTTGCACAGACTGGAAGAGACGCTGTTGAAGAGGGCACATTTGTCTGGGCACGAGCTGGCAGCTTGGAGCCCTGTGCTGAAGGGGTAGGCAGCAGCGCTGGCCGCCGCCTGCTCGTAGGCGCCCAGTGCAGGGTGCAGGGCCACCGCAGCGGCGGCGGCGGCTGCAGCAGCAGGGTTGGGGATGGAGGCGGCTGAGATGGCCTGGCCTTGGTTGAGGTAAGCCACCAGCCTCCTCATCTCCTCCAGCGCCTGGGCTTGCATGAGGATGTAGTTCTTGGCCAGGAGCAGGGTGGCAATCTTGGAGAGTTTCCGGACGGAGGGGCTGTGGGCATAGGGAATGACAGCTCGCAGCTCGTCCAGGGCATCGTTCAGGTCGTGCATGCGCCTCCTCTCCCGGGCGTTGATGTTCAGCCGCAGGGCTTTCTGTTCTTTAGACTTCTTGCCTGAAGTGGGACCGCAGGGGACGTCGGACTTGAGGCCAGACTGGGAGGCCCTGTGATCTCCTGTCCTCAGCACCAGCTCGCAGCGCCCATCGCTGTCATCGTCCTGACTCTGATCCTCTCCTCCGCTGCTCTCCGCCACCGACATCCGCCCGGCGCTCTCCCCGTACTTGGCGCACATGCTGAGAGCCAGAGCGTCCCCCGCTGCCCCGACCATCCCTCCACCTGCTGCCAGCGAGGCGGCCGAGCTCTGATGGTGTCGCAGCAGATCGGAGGGGTCGGCTCCGGGGTCGTAGCAGTGTAAAGGGGAGCGATCTCCCGGCTGGGACAGGTCCAGACCCTGGGGGGAGCGGAAGGCGGACTCCATCCTCTTGGCCGACACGCTGAGACTCTTGTGGAACAGGTCCTCTTCTGTTAGGTTCAGAGCCCTCTCCATGGCCAGTCCTCACTTTAAACTTGGCCTGTCAGACGATTCAATCATTCACAGCTTCCGTTTGGGGGGGTCCCTGCTCGCTTTGGGTGGTCACAGCCTCCAACGGGTCGGGCTCTGGGTTAACTGCAGGTTCGGGACAGCTCCAGGGTGTCGGGTCCGGCTTAGTAGCGGTGTCAGGGTCGGGCCAGCTCAAAAGTGTTGGGTCCAACTCAGCTGTAATGTCAGGTTCAGGCCAGCTCAAGGGTGTCGGGTCCAACTCAGCTATGATGTAAGGTTCAGGCCAGCTCAAGGGTGTCGGGTCCAACTAAGCTGTAATGCCAGGTTCGGGTCAGCTCCAATGTGTCGGGTCCGGTTCAGCAGCGGTGTAAGGTTCAGGTCAGCTCCAAGGTGTCGGGTCCGGCTCAGGTGCAGTGTAAGGTTCGTATCTGCTGCAAGGTGTCGGGTCCGGCTCAGCTGTAGTGTAAGGTTCGTATCAGCTGCAAGGTGTCGGGTCCTGCTCAGCTGTAGTGTAAGGTTCGTGTCAGCTCCAGGGTGTCCGGTCCGGCTCAGCTGCAGTGTAAGGTTCGTGTCAGCTCCAAGGTGTCGGGTCCGGCTCAGCTGTAGTGTAAGGTTCGTATCAGCTGCAAGGTGTCGGGTCCGGCTCAGCTGTAGTGTAAGGTTCGTGTCAGCTCCAGGGTGTCCGGTCCGGCTCAGCTGCAGTGTAAGGTTCGTGTCAGCTCCAAGGTGTCGGGTCCGGCTCAACTCTAGTAGGGCAGCTCCAATGGGATAGCTAAGGTGGGTCAAGTCCTGCTCAGTAGGCTTTATCAGTCCTAAATCCAAGGTAGGGTCCGGCTCAATTCTGGTGGGTTAGCTTAGACATAGCTATAGGGGCTTCAAGTTCGGCTTGGCTCTAATGAGTCAGCTTAGGCACAGATTTGAGGGTTCAAGTCCTTCTCAGCTCTAAGGGGTTAGTTTAGGCACAGATTTAGGGGTACAGGTCCGGTTCGGCTCTAGTGGGTCAATATAGTCTCAGTTTTAGTGGATAAAGTCCAGCTCAGTACGCTATTGCAGACTCAACTCCAATGTCGGGTCCGACTCAGCTCCGGCGAGTCGGGTCCGGGCTCAGCCCCGGCGGTTCAGGTCCAGCTGAGCACCGGCGGTTCAGTTCCAGGCTCACCCAGGCGGTTCAGATCCAGGCTGAGCCCCGGCGGTTCAGATCCAGGCTCACCCCGTTTGGTTTAGGTCCGGCTCTGTACGCACTTGTACGCTGAGCTCGGCACGTCCAGCTCAGCTCCAACCCTCCGTCCTGCGCTCAGGCATTCTGGACTAGAACTGCTGTCTTCTCTTGCTTGGATTCACCTTCAAGAGATTTCCGGAGCCATCAAGCAGCGGCAGGCACAGACGGGGGAGTCTTTTACATCATTATCTCTGAGTAGGTTATTATGAAGAAGACTCGCCTGTTGGGACCCAGCTTTCTACCCAATCAGGTTAACGTTTTTTAATTAATAGGATTAAAACGGTAACAAACAATCCCAGTTGCTCGCTGGCCCGGAGTCTGAGCACTTTCATTTCCCAGCTCTGAAGACAGGCAGCAGCAGCAGCAGCCAGAGCTTTATAAAAGGCGCCTGCTCCATTCTTCTCCGTGCCATCTGTATACACAGAGAACGCATATGTTTGCAAGACGCTGTGTCCTGTTAGTAACCCAACAACTGCCTTTAGCTTGACATGTGCGGCGACTTTCACTCCTCGATGAGCACAGTAAAAGCCCCACTTTACATCTAGGATGCTTCTTGCCTCCTTCAGCAAATTACAACAAGGCTCTACACAGCTTTTTTTTTTTTCTGAAGACTTTCACAAGTGCTCCCAGCCAATAAAATGTATGTTGTCAATGGGGAGAAGTTATTATATAGAGGCTGCTCTCTCTATTTTATGTGGTGTAGATCTTCATCTCAGCCTCTCTGGAGTCAATCAGCTACTACTTACTCCTGGTTTTATGAAGAGGTATGAGGACTGTTGTCCAGCATTAGATAAACCAGAAAATGGAGTTTGCAAATATCCCACCTTAGTGCTTTCCAGCAGGACTTTATGATGTGAGAGAAGGAGCTGACTTTATGAATTGATCTGCAAGAGTGCGACTGAACTGGAAGTGTCTGGACTTTTTTTTAGATTGTAGCTACCAATCACTGTACTAGCAGTCCTTTGCATGTACACATGGGCAGCACAGTGGATAAATGGTTTGCACTTCTGCCTGGCAGTACTAGGGTCATTGGTTCCAATCCCAACCACAGCACCACCTGCCTGGAGTTTGCATGTTTTGCCTGTGTGGGTTTCCTCTGGGTACTCCGGTTTCCTCACGCACTTCAAAGACATGCTGGTAGATTAATTGGATCCTGTCTAAATTGGCCCTAGTATGTGTATATATGAATGTAAGTTAGGGACCTTAGACTGTACATCCCTTGAGGGTTAGGGACTGATATGAATGTATAACATATATGTAAAGCACTGTGTAAATTGACAGTGCTATATAAGTACCTGAAATAAATAAATAAAATAGATCAATTGCTCAGACTCCATGGGGTAGATTTAATAAAACTGGTGTACTCAGAACATGCATGGAAGCCGATTAGTTTCTATAGTTGCACCAGATTTTGCACTCTCCAATTTTAGCAACTGACCCTCCAAGCACGTACAGCGGACATAAAAAGTCTACACACCCCTGTTAAAATGTCAGGTTTCTGTGATGTAAAAAAATGAGACAAAGATAAATCATTTCAGAACCTTTTTCCACCATTACTGAAACTGCACAACTCAATTGAAAGACAAACCCAAAATATATTTTTTTTTTTGGGAGGGGGGGGGGATTAAACATAAAAAACTAAAATGTGGTTGCATAAGTGTGCACACCCTCTTATAACTGGGGATGTAGCTGTGTTCAGAATTAAGCAACACATTCAAAATCATGTTAAATAGGAGTCAGCACACACCTGCCATCATTTAATGTGCCTCTGATTAACCCCAAATAAAGTTCAGATGTTCTAGTAGGTCTTTCCTGACATTTACTTAGTTACATCCTACAGCAAAAGCCATGGTCCGCAGAGAGCTTCTAAAGCATCAGAGGGATCTCATTGTTAAAAGGTATCAGTCAGGAGAAGGGTACAAAAGAATTTCCAAGGCATTAGGTATACCATGGAACACAGTGAAGACAGTCATCATCAAGTGCAGAAAATATGGCACAACAGTGACATCACCAGAACTGGATGTCCCTCCAAAATTGATGAAAAGATTAGAAGAAAACTGGTCTGGGAGGCTGCCAAGAGGCCTACAGCAACATTAAAGGAGCTGCAGGAATATCTGGCAAGTACTGGCTGTGTGGTACAAGTGACAACAATCTCCCGTGTTCTTCATATGTCTGGGCTATGGGGTAGAGCGGCAAGATGGAAGCCTTTTCTTATGAAGAAAAACATCCAAGCCCGGCTAAATTTTCCAAAAGCATGTGGGAAAATGTGTTATGGTCTGATGAAACCAAAGATGAACTTTTTGGCCATAAATCCAAAAGATATGTTTGGCGCAAAAACAACACTGCACATCACCGAAAGATCACCATACCCACAGTGAAGCATGGTGGTGGCAGCATCATGCTTTGGGGCTGTTTTTCTTCAGCTTAAACTGGGGCCTTAGGCAAGGTAGAGGGAATTATGAACAGTTCCAAATACCAGTCAATATTGGCACAAAACCTTCAGAATGCATGAAGGTAAAAAACCTTCAGCCTTTCCAACCAGTTTAATAGGGCACATTAAGGGGACTTTACTAAGAGATGACATTTACTAAGGAATGGCAACCAATCAGCTACTAGCTTTTATTTTTCAAAGCATAACTGATCAAGCTTAAGCTAGAATTGGCTACTATGCACGGCTGCTCCTAATTCTTTCTGCTCCAGTTTTAGTAAATTCCCTCCATCATCTATTCTTTAAAGCGCATCCAAGCCCAAAACCAAAAATAATATTATATTTCACTTTACTAAGACCATTACTTTAACAGACCAAACTGTCCAGCAAAAGTGGCAGTTAGAGGGTTGAGACAAACCATTTAACACTGACAGGAGTTCTTACAATGGTCAGCTTGTATTCACTTAGTAAGGCTGTGTTCACACTGGTGCATGTAAAAATGAGGTATGCATTTTTTCATAAACACATCGCATTTTAATGCATTTTTAATGCATTGCATTAAAACGCGTATGTGTTTAAGAAGGGTTTTTGCATGCATTTTCAACACTGGTCATGTGAGCAAAAATTGACATGTGACCCCCAAAAATGCACCAAAAACACACCACAGTGCATTTTTGATATGTTTCCATTGGTTTCAATAGGGGGTGCATCTTTGATGCACTTTTTAAACAGTGTACAAAAGATACAGCATGCAGGAGTTAATGCACAAGTTCATCTTTGGTGAGCGGGTAGGCAGAATCTTTAATACAGAAAAGATTTACAAGGGTTTATTTACTAAAGCCGGAGAGTGCAAAATCAGGCTCACTTCTGCATAGAAACCAATCAGCGTGTCACCTCAGCTTGTGCAATAAAACCTGGAAGCTGATTGGTTTCTATGAAGAAGCAAGCCTGATTTTGCACTCTCCAGCTTTAGTAAATAAACCCCACAGTGTCTCTTCTGCAATAAAAGATACCTGTCTTCTGTAGAACGTATTCTGAGCTTACACAGCTGAGTGTACATTTCAGTACTAAACAAAGCAAAACACAGCAGCTCTAAGATAGCCTTTAGTGAGTGATGGGCTTGGTGTTCCAGTCGATTCGAACATCGAAAGGGCGTTTGGCGGGTTGTTCGCCCACCACGCCCCACGATGCCCTGCGCTCTGACAGTGCAGGTCAGGTGCAATGCTTTGGCCAATCACAGCACAATTTGGTGGAGCGAGCTTTGAGGTCACTGCTAGCTCTGCCCAATTGCTTACATTTGCTTACATCTGACCGGCAAATGTCAGATAGCGGTGAGTGCTCAGTGGGTGTGGACAGGTC